ATGATTTGATTTTGATTTTTGATTTTATTGATTAGCATTCAAATTCAAATCTCAGCTAATGTTGATATTATTCTGATTCTGATTCTGATTCTGATTATTCAAATACCAAATAGTATGAAAACAAAATATTTTTACTCACAAACAGTAGTAGAAATGTGTCGGCCAGCCACAAGCATTATTACAGTACAGATAGATAAAAGACATAGCTGTCGTGACATCCTACTCTAGTAAAAGTCCCGTCCCAAGCTTGCGTTTACCATCTTGGTGTGTTGAAACACTGCATTACAGGTGATGGGTGGATCTAAGTGTTAAATTGCAGTTATTGGCAAATGACTTATGATTGACAAGATGTTAGCTAATGAATTTGGCTAATTTTTGGAGTTGGCCTCAAGTGTAATTGAAGTTTTCTTCAGACATAAAAAATGTTATTTTTCTATAAAAACATTTTCTGTTTTCCCATAAAAGCAAAGTAAACTGACAAGAATACAGCAGTTCAGTCTAACAGCAAGTCTTTTAAACTAACATATTTCAACAATAAGTATTTCGCTAGTCTTGAATAAGGACATCAATTCGGGCAACCAAAGCAACCAAGAAAACTGAGCTATTGAAAGTTGTAGCAGTAGTTGCATCTTAAGGCAAACTGACGTCCAAAGTAGTTTAGTATTTAGATGTTTTGAGAATGTCCTTCAACATATATAGAATACTAAATATTAATTGTACATTATCTTTCACTGGTCTTTGTAGTCCCACTTGTGAACAAACTGAACTCTGCTAAATGGTAAATGGACTCGTTCTTATATAGCGCTTTTCTACTCTATCTGAGCACTCAAAGAGCTTTCTACAACAAATTCATTCGGCCAGTCACACCAATTCACACAAACACCTTTTCTAAGCTGTTAGTGCCTATCTAAGATTCATGCACATTCACACTCCAATGGATGCGTCGGTTAGTATCTTGCCCAAGGATATTTGGCATGTAGACTAGGGGGAAGCCAGTAATCAAACCACCAATCTTCTGATCAGTAGATGACCTGCTCTACCGCCTGAGCTACAGCCCACCCCTAAGCTAAAATGCTTAGGGTTTTAGAAATGAGCCCTGTAATGAAAATTATCTGGATGCAACTGGGGCAGAAAGGGGCATTGAAAAGACTCAGCTAGCGCTAATTTCCCAAAACTATGTTTTGCTGACAAATGAATTCTGCAGACATAACTGGTGTCTTCATGCCTGCAAATGACTGGCCACCTTGTTTCTGACTCATCAGAGTTCAGCTGAATTCTGGCACTGCAAATTTACCCAAACAAAGAGCCAGTGATGAAGTGGCAGGCCATAGCCCTCTAACCATTGTCCTTCTTAATGAAGCCGCAGAGTGGGTATGAGAGCTGCTCGGCATCAGAGAGGTCACAGGTTCTCTAGTCATTGTGTAGTAAACATCGCGCCACAGACCAGGCAGTGTTTCCATCAGCCAGTCTCATACTGACTCCGCATTTTCATATCACCTGATGCAAACAGGCAGGGAAAAAAGGGCATAAAAACCATTTAATAATTCTTAAACCTGCAACTGAGCAGGTGTTTGGAAAAGTAATTTAATCTACATTTTGATCACCCATAAGCATCTATACATAGTAAATTAGTTAATGCTTCGCCCTCTTACTTGACACAACACAGTGGCAAGTTGAGCATAGTATCAAAACATAACTACATAGAAAATCTTGCATGTTAATATGACCCTTAAAGCTGTCCAGAAATGCATGTAGGTTTTGTCCAGGGGAGTTATAAGAAAACAGACCAAAGAGCCAGTGTAACAATGCCTACTGGCATTACTGTGTGAGATTTTGCTGGTGATATATCCCTTTAAACTGGTGCTCAAAGTTGAAAAACAATTCTCAAACAAAATTTTGGCATGAGATTTGGACACTTGATTGATTTGAGTGATGTTTTTAACAACACCTAAATGTGTTTTTTAGCCCTGAAGATAAGGTGAAAAAATAATACAGATGAAACGACACAAAATATAGCCCGTTGTCTACTTTGAGGGCCTGCAACTTGGAAAACACTCACAGTATGAAGCTAAAATTTATACATGACTTCATTTGATATACTAAAGTTGTGTGGAAATTACATGTAGATAAAAATCATTTGATTAAGAGGGTGGTTGGAGAAGTCGTTTTCTCACATTTATTTGCTTCTGTATAAAATCAACCTGTTACAGAGCAGCTGCGTCTGCTTGCACTAAAACTTAATTAAAAGTAACTGGAAATTGTGTCATAAGCATCGACTGTAATGACTGAAATCTTTTGTCTCATATTGTCAAGGCTTGTTTGTATACAGTTATGTTGCCATGGTTACCCTTCTGCACATGAAGCATTGGTGGGAGGTGCAGAAACACGAGCAGGGCATCACCTCGCTTATGGAAAGCCCCTGAAATGTAGCAGTTGCACCGGATGCTCAGTTTGATAATGACTGAAGTACAACTACAGCCTATTAATACTTTCATTCTCAGTGATTCAAGTAGATTAAACCTTAGATTATTCTCATAGATCCTTTTAGACTTGGTACAGATTGTCTCAAAAAGTTGCTTTTGTCTTAAAGGCAACACTCATTGAGTGATTTCCATTATGTATAACATATCTAATTACTTTCATTATGGACAAACACCTGATTAAGGTCTGTCAGGGGCTTATTTTGTCATTCCAGCAGTCTTCCAGAGACCCCACTTCCCTGTCTCACCTCTGTTGTACACTTAGTTACTGATATGTCCTTTTTTCTTAACCAGCATATGCTCACTATGCTACTATGCTAACTTTTGTGGATTTAAATGTGGTGTTTTTATCATGAAATTAAAACAAGGCGTTTTCATAAGGTGTTGTAGGTGCATTATATCGGTGCACAGTTCAATTTTGTGGATAAAAATAAAATTTTGTGTGAAATAAAAATGATATGGTGATTTTTATAAGGTTCTGTAAGGTGCAAAAATGCGATAAATGAGCCATATCAGCCCATTGGTAGGTGGTTACTAGACAACATGATGACGTTTAAATATATGACATACATAGGAACACCTCAGGGATCTAAGGTGTACCTGTGTGCCAGGTTTGGCAGCTAGCTCCTTGTGGTTTTAGGATCAGTTCAGGGATAAAGAAACAAACACACAGATGGAGATTGTGTTTGTTTTAATAAGAAGGTTTTCTACTTTTCTCCTCCTCAGATGCAAACTATAAAGTGTGTGGTGGTGGGTGACGGTGCAGTGGGAAAGACATGCCTGCTCATCTCATACACGACGAACAAGTTTCCCTCTGAATACGTTCCTACGGTGAGTAGTCTTAAATAACACGATTAACTTTTTCACTTCCCCAAAGTAATAATACTTGAAATGACAGAGAGCTGACGCACAGCAGCAGCACGGGCCACTTTATTCCTTGTAACACCCAGTGTGCAGGTCTTTCCTGTGGAGTGATACTGATAGATGGGTAAATGCTGTACGTAGGTTACATAAACAGGTTTCTGAAAAAAGTATCGTCAGTATCGACGCCACTGTATTTACAGCATGCACATACCTTTCCAGTTCAGTGAGAGAGTGTCACTCATATTTCAGCTTCACTTTTATTTTTAAAAGATGGGAATGAGTACCAAAACTTGGTAGTAGTACACTGTAATAAAACTCTGGAGTCTTTTAAGAACTGAAAGTACCAAGTTGGGTCGTTTATGACTCTTATATTTTCTACTGAAATATTTTTTTAATGGCTTTTGATTGGCCTGGATCAGTTCTATTGAAAATGCGTTAACACACATCACCTTCAAAGAAGATTACATTTCATTTATATGTACATAAACGTATTGCATGTACTGCGGTACGAGTGTATCATTTTAATAAAAAACAGGATGAACTTTACTTTGATCAATAACAAGTTTGAATCAAGTCATTGTAGTCAGGCTGTTTGTTCGTCCTTTATTTTCGTTATGCTGTGTAAAACGATATATAAGCAAACGTCTTGCTTGTAACTGTAACATTTCAAATATTTTGTGCAGATAAATTCAAAATGAAGCGTGCTGCAGCAGTAACTCTCACTTCTCTAGGTCTGTTAGGAGTGTTCCACAGCAAAACATCATGTAGTGGTTGAGAAGTTGTAGAAGAAGTGCATTGGCAAATTAGTGATGTGAAACTTTCTTGATGTGACGCACATATAAATGCCTTTTTTTTTTTTATATATATATATAAAATCAACAGACTTCGGTAGTCATTTCAAAGCTTTCTTTATGTAAATATGTCTGAATGTAGAAGCAGAAAATTACAGGTCATCCAGGAATTGAATTGTTTGAGACAAGCCTGTAGTTTACTAATTTCTGTGTTTCCTAATCTAATTGTGTATCATTGTCAAAGAAATCAAAATATGTGCAGTGTTTCTGTGACATAGAAAACATGTATAATGAGAAAAATATTGGTCCTAGCACAGAACCCTGTGGAACGCTACGACTAAAGTTTGGTCAACAAATGGTCATAAATGATACAAAAATATGTGAAATTTCATCACCCGTCCCCTTTAGTTTACCTAGACCAATCATACTTACCTGTACCAGTCTGGTAAGGACAACTTAAGACTGAGTACTGTAAATTTCTTCATCCGATGATGAACATGTGCCCTTTAAATTTTCTGTGCTCACACAAGCTTTGCCCCCAGTTATTATATTACAGTGCATCAACTATGCACGTGCCATTCAAGCAGAGGTGAGGTGGATTCAAGGAACAATAAAACACACCTTTTCAGACACTCAAACTGAAACAAACCTCCTTTTTCCATTTGGTCTCACTGTGTTCATTTATAGTAGGCAAAGTTTGTATGAGACGTGATGTTTGGTCTCCAGATATATCCAGTGTTTTCTAATAACATTTCTAGTGTTATTATAACTCTTTCGGTCAGCAGCACCTTGAAATTACATCACATATATTTTTCTCAAATATCTTAAACCATTGGTCGGCTCTTTAGTCCTTCTAGTGCGGCTCCGCGTGGTTTGGGAAAATAAATTAAAGTATTTTGCTAAAGTGTATTTTATTTATGTTCTTTTTTTAACTTGTAGTTCTAAATTGGAAGATTATTGTGATATTGAAATATAAAAATAAAATTATATTTTATTATTTTTTCATCGCTCAAAATAAGTGTCACACTCGCGGAAGCCGGTGTACCCGCTGAAACGCCATGGATTTATCGAGACTTTCAACCCCAGGCAGGCCAATTATGGATCTTCGGATCCACATTATGTCAGCAGCTCCACCGTGAACTATGTTAAAAACAAACAGCGCTCACGCCTCACAGACGACAGCTTACAGTCCTGTAAAGATGAAAGTGACTTCGTACAGCCTCGATTTGCAGACGCTGTGCGCAGAGGTTCAGGAGCAGAAGTCCCATTGTAAACATATCACGGCAGACCCGACGATGTTTGCATGAACACGCTTTTCAGCTTCTCTTTATTGACCACTTTTCTCACACGGTTGCTGTACGCACACAGCCGGCTGTAGCGTTTCAGCCCACAGCCCGACACACACCAACAACAACACAAAAGCATAGATGGCACAGACGTTAAGGCGGCGAGGCGTGATTGCGGGTGCCGCTCAGGTGCGTCCGCCTCCCCTGCAGCGGCGCTGCAGACCACGCCCCGACACACACGTTAACCAGGTAAAATACATATTTAGGCTGAATTTTGCAAATATCTATTTTTCATTTTTCAGCAGCATAGTGCTTTTTTTTTTTTTTTTTTTTTCCCCCCCAATTATTTTTTTAAAAGTCAGGTCAAGGCTCCAAAAGCCCAAAGGCGATATAAGGTCAGTTGTCTTTCATGGAATATTTTTCTCAATTTAGATTTAAACCTGTAATGGTCATCAAACATTTTTACATGGAATAACTTGGTTGACCCACTTTCCTCTAATCTTTATTGAAAAATGGTTCCTAAATTAAATTTGTGCTGATGTTACAGTTTTCAAGGTTGACACATGATCAAGCTGGACTTTTCTTTATACCTATAAAAACACGGTGAAAAAAAACTAAATGTTCTTGATAGAGAGTAAGAAATGTTAGAAAAGGAGACACTACGTTACACTTCGAGGTGTGTTTCTCATACTGCTGAGCCAACAGAGCCAAATATTGATTAAGCTCCACCTTAGATTTAAGCTGACATCTTGATAAATGGTAAGTGGACTGGTTCTTATGTTGTGCTTTTCAGCTCTGTTTATACAACATGGCCCTTTCATACAAACACTTATTGTTTATACTTTAGTGCTTTCTATCCACCAGACACACACACTGCTACTGCAATGAACGCATTGCAGATCGAACTTTGCGATTACGGATGAACCGCTCCTGACCTCCTGAGCTACAGCTTCTCCATTAGGCAGAGAGAGGTTGTGACAGTTCACACACAGTATATGCTACAAGTTAAATGTTGCATATAAAAATGAAGGGCTTAAAAGTTTTTACAATACGCTTGTTAAATGATGACTTATAAACCCTGCTACTGGGTCCAAGCTCCTACTGCATTCATTAAGCTGTCCTCTTTTAATTTGTTACAGTGAATTGTATCTTGGTAGCAGCACCCTTTTGCACTCAAGCATGAACCTGGATGATATTTTGGTAAAAAGTTCTTTTTGCACATCATTTCCTGAAGTTGTAAACTTTCTAGCGCTCGCTGTTTGTTCTGATTCTTGTACACGTTTGTGTCGTTTTTGGTGCGTGCAGTCGGTGGTTTCATGTCTGTACCTGCAGGATTAGAAATGTGTGCTTGTCTCCTGACATCCTGTTTGATTCGTGACTATTCAAAAGTGTTGCATCACGCTGCAGCAGCACGATGAGGAAGAAGCTTCGCAAGCTCTGCAGCGTGGCACAAATGTGGTCCATGTGCGCCTCAGCTCAGCTGATCCGGCATTCTCTGACTCTGTGGTTTGTTGCCATCAGAAAACGGCTTGCTGAGCGTTGACAGGCTCTGCAGCCCTGCTAGAAATATCTGAAATGCCTCCTAATTGATGATGGGTAGGGTCTGTGAGTAGGGACTGCAAACTGATGAGTAATTGTCTTCTGTTGCCATTGCTTGGTCTGTCAGCAGTCAGCACTGTTTGAGAATTGCGGAAGCAACAGTGCTGACTCAACTTTTATCTTTCTCTTCCTGTCAGACTGTCCATCTCACTCACCTCGCTTCCACTCCACTATTTTTAACTCTTCAGTACAAATGTCGTTCAACCAATTCTGTTTGAATTTTTAATACGACGGCCACCAATTACTAAAACAAGATCTTCTTTTTTTTATGTTAAAAATGCACTTTTTTTCCAGTATTACTACAGCTGTTACTGATTATTGTTGTCGTATAAAAGCACAACCTTCACATCTAGACTGTTTTGCAGCTTAAACAACAGTATTGTATTGTATTGTATTGTATTGTATCTTTATTTGTTTCAGACATATAAAACAAAAACAATATATACACACTACATATATTTTCATTTACAGATACGAATATATATGTAGATATACACACACACACGTATGTGTTCAGATAAACAAAAAATATATAATGAAATAAAACAAAATCGTCTGACATAATGTAACAATGTTTGGTCTGAAAAGGAGTAGGAAGAAGTATGAACATACTTATTAATTCCTACCCCTGCTCAACATCTTATTGATCCCACATAATTCACCTAATTCCCATCATCACATACTCCACAGTATTATTTGCCATTTTACTTCTTTATGATTCCAAAACCTTATCAAGATCAGAAAGTACTTTGGTCTTTTAAATGCATTAAAGTTTAATGGGAAAATATCTAGGGAAAGAGAGTTAATGATAAAAACCCTGAAAACCATAAATTTCACCCCGAGCCTCAACTCTCGCGGCCCGGTACCAAACGTCTCACAGACCCTTACCAGTCCGTGGCTCAGGGATTGGGGACCGCTGCTTTAATAGGCTCGTTCTTCCCCGGGCTGTATGTTTGGCGTACCTCGTATATGCAGGAATGGTCATGTCAGTATTTATCTATTATTTGTTTATGTACAACTACTTTATTTCAAATGCGTTGTTTAAATGCCACATTGTTGTTATTCCATTATTTTTCAGTGCATATGAGCTTTCCCTTTTCATATTTAAAAATGGCTCTGCTTCTTCTTAAACTCAGTCAACAAGAGTAGAAGTGAGGGCATCACGTGACCACCTCTGTTTGCCGAGACTGGACTGTTTGCTTTCTGTGTGCTCTTCTTAGTTTTCTCAGTCCTGTTTGAGCACTGAGGCTCAAACAGGCACACGTGGCTCAGGGGGTTGGGAAGCGATCTGTAACCGGAAGGTCGCCGGTTCGATCCCCGGGCTCTCTGTCCTGGTCGTTGTGTCCTTGGGCAAGACACTTTACCCTACCGCCTACTGGTGTTGGCCAGAGGGGCCGATGGCGCGATATGGCAGCCTCGCTTCTGTCAGTCTGCCCCAGGGCAGCTGTGGCTACAACTGTAGCTGCCTCCACCAGTGTGTGAATGTGAATAGTGGCATTGTAAAGCGCTTTGGGTGCCTTGAAAAGCGCTATATAAATGCAATCCATTATTATTATTATTATTATTATTATTATTATTACCCACTGAAAAAAATAATGTAAAAACATATCTTAAAGTATTAGCTGTATGTAGTTTTCAGCTCGTCTGTGGCTTCCTACTAATGAAAACACTAGCATAGTAGCTCTTTGCTGTTAGCATAGAGCTCTTTTTTTCCTTATTAGCGCTACATGTAGGAAAACCTTTATATAAGTACTAAAGACTTAACTTTATTATCAAAATAGTGATTATAATTACTGTGATATTTTCAGAATAAAGGTGCTTTTCAAGACAGAAGTGGAAATACTTTCATATAAATGTAAAAAAGGATATCAAGAACAAAGTTTTATTGTAAAATTTTACTTTCTTTCCTCATAAATGCAACTTTTTATGCTTATTATTTTTTATCATCTGTGACTAGTAATATGATTTTATACACCTCCAACATGATTCAGCAAAAGCTGTGTTATTTTGTTTTTATTGCTTAATGTCACATTGTTGTTATTCCTGTGCAGCATCCTGTTCCTACCTGCATTCTCCTGTTGTTAATCACCGCCTTATTACTTAATGTCACCAATGTACTTAATGAACCCTAATCTTTGAGGCTAGTCATCATGCAACATTAAGTTGAGCAATGTCTTGTTTTAGACAAAACACTTTATTCTCCTGTACGCTTTCTGTTTCGTGTGTGTGTGTTGAGCAACTATACATCAGTGCTGTATTATGTGTCTGCATCGTTTCCTGTCAATCTGCTGACAAACAAGCCACACAGTAAGAAATTAGGAGAGAGTAAGTCTTCTCCAGGAAGTAATTCCTCACAAACAAGTCACCTTACAGGAATCTGATGTCAAACCTGTCACATTTTACAAGGAGTGTGTTTATTGTTTAATTTCAGGCTGTTGTTTGGCTCTGTATGAAACTGAAACGGCATATAAATACATTTATCGTAACAGCACAGTCGGGACACCGTTCGGCACAGCGCTTTCTTTCCCCACTGTGTCTGCTGTGATCTGTTTCCAGCAGCTTCTGTAGTCTGAGCTCCATCCAAAGCTCTTACCATCAAACCTGTGTCTCTTCTTCTGTCTGTGTGGTGGATGTTTGAGTGGAGGGGCCAGTTACTCAGTGTTTCTGTCCAAACTTGACCTGAAGGGCACTTCTGTCTCTGTTTGTCCATTTCTCTGCGTGTGTGTCGCACACTCTGAACTTTTTCATCAGTCTATCAAACGTCGGGTCAATTCTGCCTCTTTGTGCTCAGAAGAAAAATAAACAACCAACAAACCGACGGGTAGAAGAAATTTTGAACAGTTGTAGCAGCAGCTTCTCTGGATATTAGGTTAGCATTGGGTTAAAAAAAGATGGTAAACCGTCGTGTTAATGCCAAATCCTGTAAAACCAGTTAACAGTTAACTGGGATTTCTTACTGGCTCAGGATCTTTGAGCGTGATTGCACATAATCATGATTTGTCTGCATATAACTAAGGCGAAAAGTCTGTGACTTTTCCAGACGTCAGTGCGTTTTCCTGCTATCCTCGGTCATTTGACTGAACTTTCTGTTAAGTTTCAGCAATTAAACAAAAACATTTTACTTTGATGGAAGACCAGAACCTCTGGTGGGTCCCAAAATGTTTTACGTGCCAGAAAAGCTGTCGTCTGCTGACTCATCTCGCCTGATTCACTTTTGGTGGCGTGCGACCAAAGTGTTTTTTGGCTGTCTGCTTTAGCTGTTTCTCCCTCGACCTGTGGCTACCATCCAATTGTTCTGATGCCTCCAAGTCTGCTGTCACGAGGGTCTTGCTTCACAGCCGTCTGCACAAACAGACACAATGGAGGCTGTGGGCCAACAGTGACCAGCAGCTCCCAAATAAGATGGGCTTCACGAGCACAAACACCCACTGGTGTGCACCCAACTGTCTGCAGGTCAATCAGCTCTGCCTGTTTAATCATTTCATTTGCAGTGTTTCCAATCTGAGTAGTATTTAAAGTAAACTCCTTGTGAAGACTCGTTGCTTTAAGTGACCGAAACGGTTTTCAGTCCAAGACAAGACAAAAATACAGGCTCAGCTTTTAAAGTTAATGAATAATTGTGTTAAATAACATTACAGTTGTAGTTCAAAATGATGCTGATTGTTTTGTGAAACAGTCGAGCAGCTTGAAACTCGCTGATGAAACATGTCTCTATGAAGATCGTCGTGCAACAAGCATTTCCAGTCAGCTACTGTGACCGTACCTTGTTTTATACTGCATGAGGTCATCACCGTGAACACTCCCTGCTTTAGCGCACGTCCGCCGAGCCAAGGTTAGCAGGCGTGTTGGGACTGGACTGTTTTATTGTACACAGCAGCAGCCTGAAGGTATGGCTGTGATTAAATAAAAGGAAGGACTGAACCAAGACGCAGCAGGTCTGTTTACCTGAACAACAACAAAACAATATTCAGTTTCCATCATTTCATGTAATTCAGTAAAGATCATGTATGCAATAAACTATTTAAAGGGCAGCTGTTTTACCCATTTCCAGTTCCATATCTTTATCATTGGACCCTACTGCAGTAGCTTTGCATGATTCACAGTTCACAGTAATCCTGATTTCTTTTACACCAGGCCGAGTAGCTGCACCTCTCAAAAAGAAGGGTTGAACAGCACGTAGGTTGGATTTCTCTGGCCAAGATGGCAATTTTGAGAATAACAGCTCTGAATCACATCATACAGATCCAGACAGTGGTCTTAGATACAGCGCACAATGTTAAGAAATCCACTTCACACGTTCTCAACACTGGAAATGATCGGTTTCATGGATGTGAACGCCTGCGGTGTTTAGTCAGTTTAAATCACTTTCTCATTTTCCCTCTTGCTGCAGTTCGTTTGTGCAGATGTAAATATAATCGCACTCGAGTGCGGACCAAAACAACCGCACCGAGACCCTTTGGAGGACGTCTCTGTGCGGTTCCAAATGAACTCAGCAGTTTGTTTGTGGTGTGAACAGGATACGAGCTCAGTCAGGCCCAATTACCATGTAGATGTTGAAAGTTTGAGCTAAGAAAAAACAACTTCCCGTAGTCACGTGCGGTTATTTCTTTGTATTCTGTGAAGCATGAGGTACTATAGATGTGCACAGGCTAGCAACTAGCTGCCCAACATAAATTGTTCTTTTTCAGTTGACACGTTTAGAAACTGAACTGATTCTGACCGGAGGAAATAAACTGTAGGTGTGAAACCGCTGATGGGTGCGCTCATCCACTGTTTAATGACTTAAAGATTTGCTTAATGGAGCATCATGTGCTCATATTTTAGCCTTTTTAACTTTGCACATTCAACACTGGAGTTGTCTGATTTGTATGACAGCGGTGCTGAACATCTGTCAAACAAAAGCACTAGGAAAGTACTTCCTTTTTCAACGATTTAACAACTCAAGAAGTCTTCTTCCAGTCTACACGTTACTTCCTTTTTTTGTTTTCTGCTCTCTCTGTCATATCATCCGGCTTCTGTTTTCTCACCTTTTCCCCTCTTTGTCCCCCAGGTGTTCGACAACTATGCCGTGACGGTGATGATCGGTGGAGAGCCGTACACTCTGGGACTGTTTGACACTGCAGGTAAAAAAATCTAAAACCATTTCAGTTAATTCACTGTAGGAACACCGAACACACTCCCACGAGCAGTGACTGCCTAATATTTACAGAAAGGTTTTTTTAGTGCAGTTAAAAGCACTACAAAACCTAAAAATAAAACTAAGTCAATGTGCTAACCCTCTTCTGTCAAAAAGATGATGAAAACTTCCTGGGGGGAAAAATGCATCATGAAATCTTAATTTTTGGCTACATCTCACCATCACTTTTGGTGAAACAGGAAGTCAGAGAGTGAGCGTTTTTGGTAGTGTGAGATGTTAGCCGGTGGAGGTGAGACCGAGTGGACTGCGATCTGCTCCACATTTACCTGTCAAATAAACAAGCCACACTCCTAAGAGTAAACCTTTACAGTATCCATATGTTTAAATGAAAATACCCGCTGCGTCGTTATGGTGAAGAGGGTGGAGGGTTTTTGTTTTGTAGCACGGTGCGCATGTTCATGTGTGGTTCAAAGTTGTACACTTTAATATGGGCATTGACTGAGTTCTGGAGCCCACCTCAACTGGACCTGAAGCTTTGTTTTGTTTTTTATCTCTATTAGCTTAATTTTGTCATCTCGTGCCTCCCCCTGCAGGTCAGGAGGATTACGACAGACTGCGACCCCTCAGCTACCCTCAGACTGACGTCTTCCTCGTTTGTTTCTCTGTTGTATCACCTTCATCTTTCGAGAACGTCAGAGAGAAGGTTTGTTTAGCTCTCTCTGTGTTTTTTGTTTCTAGATTAAGATTGACACATGTACATTTTACCTTTTTAAACAAGGGCTGTCAGGATAATCTGTAAACCAAATTATTTACTATGACAAGTTATTGTCTTCTCAGTAAAAATTAATTGAGAACACCATCAGCTTGGTTTTAGATCTAAATTTGTTCACAGTGTAACTTTAAGGACACAGAGGAGGGTTCAGGTCAGTTGGAGTTGCATTTAAAGTCCATCAAGCCTGACCTTGGCCTTGTCTTTTCACAGTGGGTGCCAGAGATTTCACACCACTGCCCACGGACGCCCTTCCTGCTGGTGGGGACTCAGGTGGATCTCAGAGACGACAGCAACACCCTGGAGAAGTTGGCCAAGAACAAACAGCGAGCCCTGAGCTGTGAGAGCGGAGAAAAACTGGCTCGTGAGCTGAAGGCCGTCAAATACGTGGAGTGTTCGGCTCTGACGCAGGTACGGAGAAAGTAGTCGTCGCCTGAGGGGGGAGAAACAGGCCTTTAGTATCCATGTGAGCTCAGGTCTGAAAAGATAAACTGATGAGGTCAAAGGAAGTTTCACAGTTAAGTCTAATAAGCGTGGCGACGTGTAGCTACAGAACTGTCTGTGTCCAGATGTGAAACTGTAAACGGCTCATTTCCATGTGGCTCCGTGTACTAGGCATGATTCTGGTTACAACTGCTAATCAGCTTTTAAAAAGCACTTTTAAAAAGAAATCATCATCAGACAATTACCTGTGAGTATTAAATAGGAACTGAAACTAGTATTTGAACAAGTGTTTACCTGCTTTAAAAAAAGTCTTCTTAAATGTAATTGATTAGTTAAAAACAGAAGACTTTCCTCCTACATGTTAATCTACTTATTCTACACACGGTCATGTTATTTAGTCAAATTCTTTTATTTATTTTTATGTATTTTTTGGTAGAGCTAGCACATTCAGCGAGAGGACAGGAGCTCCAGTCATTAGAAAAAAGTATTTGTTATTTTACTTTGTTTTATTGCAAGTAAATTTGAGGCATGCAGAGATCTGTGGCAGAACTCCACCTCGGTCTAAAAGGATGGCGACGTCGTCTATTTTCATTTCTAGTTTCCTTTGTAGAATTTTCTTTCTTTTTAACTGTGAATTGAATTTTGAAATTTAAATTTTAATTCAGTTTTTTTTAAATTAATTATTCTTTATTTATTTAGTAATGGGTTGTTTTTGTTTATTTAGAGGGGACTGAAGAACGTGTTTGACGAGGCCATCCTGGCAGCTCTGGAGCCTCCGGACACCAAACCCAAAAAGCGCTGCGTTCTGTTGTAGACGCCACGACAAGAAGAAGAAGAGGATAGGAGAAGGTGGAGGTGGACCAGGAGGAGATTATTAACCCAGATGGGAACTGAGGGGGGGAGGGTAGACGCATTTAAACAGTGCCTTCAGCCATAGTGACTTAACGTGGGTGTGGTGTTAGAACGGATAGGCGCTTTGTTTTCATCACCGTAACATGACTAACATGTTTGAGCAACACTCTTCGCTAACCTGGAAACAGGGTTTTAATAATCGCAGGAAGCAGATTGAGCAATAGTAGTTTAAACCTCAGATGCCTTGAAGATACAAACAATGGATGGAGTCACGTTTGCAGCTGAAACTTAACAAAAACTTTTAAAATCATTAAAAAAATCTACAAGGAACTGTATAACATATCTGAAATAAATGTTGGGAACAATGTGTTGGGTCAGTAAACTGCTGCTTTATATTTGTGACACTTGTGTTAGTGATTGATCTGCTGTTGATTTCATAGTCTTGAAATAATTTGTAATCATAGTTTGAACAGCTGTGGTGTACAGTAGCAGTGACGGGCGCTACACTGTTGATCTCAACAATAGCTTTTTTAATTTGTTAACTTTTCCACGTTAAAACAAAAAAACTTTGAGCAGTATTTTTCCCTTTTCTTTTGTTAACATAAAGATTAACTCTGTTTACAGATTTTGAATTTTTATTTTTAACCTTTTAAACCAAAAAATCGTATGCAGTTGTGCAGGCTTTGTGGATTTGTGTAAGACATAAGAGAGACACGTGGCACTCGTAGATTTTCAGCTGAGGACTCTCTAAATACAACAAATAATAACCTACAGGAGAAAAAAGCCTATTTCAAGTCAAACCTGTAGAGCTGCTTTGATTAGATTTGACTGTTGCTTCTGTAAGTGCAGTTTTGATGTCCTGGTCAGCGGTGAAGTTAAAAGTATTTAAGGCAGTGCTTTAAAATAATTGTCCAGAGGTGTTTCAGCGTAGCTGCTGAGTGGCTGTGTTTGCTTCTAGAAAGCCTTTGTTGACATTCTGATCCTGTGGCGAAAAATCCTGTGAAACTTGAGGTAAAGGAGCTAGTTTGCTCTTAATGTATCCACAATACAATTCAAGCAAGTCCTTTTGAAGAAAGCAGGACATCTTTCCAAGCAGCTGTAGTTTGATCCCAACACAAGGTCAGATAAATCCTAAAGTAGATAAACCCATCCACCTCTGCTTAAACTGTAGATTTAAATGTAATCAAAAGTGTTGATCATAAGAAAGTCAACATTAGTGCTGTTTTATTCGGTCACTGGTTTCAAAAAGAGCATCAACAAACATTTTCAGCACTCTATCATCTAGCCGACACCTTCGGGCAGTAAAAAAACCCTCCTAGCTGTTTCCTCCAAACACTGAAAGAATGAGCGTTTAACCCAACATGCTGGAGTGAACTCACGCCTGCAAACCGACCAGGGGATTCAAACAAGGAACCTTCCTGCTGTGAGGCAACGCTGCTAACCTGCTAGCCTTCAGTTTAGGATTGTTTGAGAGCCGCGTCTCCTCCTTATAACGCCTCTGCGTGCTGTAGGTGCGAGTTCTGTAACTTGACTTCATCCGTGTCAAAAAGAATAACTGAGACTAAACATTTACTAACTGGGCAGAAGCTGCACGTTACAGGACAACACATGCATTGGTGTGCACAGTAGCTAACAGTGCCTCAATCTGTAGCTGAGAGAAGTTAGAAACTCGATGTTCTCATGTGGATGCATTGCTTTCCAAAGTAACAAAAATAATATTCAGACTCTTTAAGTCTTGAATTGTCTGAGATTTCTCAAGTTCCACCTGGTAACAGGACAAATGTGGGATATTCACATATTCAGTTTTCACCTGACCACAGAAACGGGAATGTTTTGCAAGAATTTGCATGCAACTGCACACAACATTATATAACTCCTAACAATAACTTTTAACTGTAAACATTAGTAGAGATATTGAAAAAGATTGGGCGAAATGTTCCTTTAGAACGAGTCACTGTGTGAAAACTGTGAGACGCGCCTTTTTTAAGTTTCTTAAATGTTTTCCACCTTATTAAACTGTTAAAGTCGACACAGACAAACGGCCCACGTGTGACCTCCTCTTGTTTTGTCCACTCCTGCTTCGCTGCTCCAGGCTAGAACCCGAGGTGGTTCTCTGGTGGCTCGTTGGCTCCTCCTGGAGGCCTTAAAGGGGATTAGGCTGGTTTAAAGGATTCTGTGTGTCATTTCATTGGCTAAAATCAGACTGATCAGTGTTTGAGAAGTTAAAGTTGAGTCTTTTAAAGACATCAGTTCTACCTTCATTCATCTTCTAGCGGCTTCACAGTTTTTATATTTCATTTTAATGTTACTACCTTTAAATAAGGAAGTGCTGCGCTGACCTTTAGAAAAAACCCTCCTCAGTGACTGAATTCTCCCAGTCATTTATTGAAACCTGCTGCTCTGACAGCAAACTTGGACTGAAAGAGTCGGTGCTGCTTGTTTTTATTCATCTTTCATAAAGTTAGTTAAAGCTACAATCAACAAACCTCTGATCTGAGGATGGTTTAAGGCGGTATGACTGGTGAGATGTTAAAGTTCTCTGACACTGATCAGGAGTCAGTAACACATTTGAAACCTTTAAACTGAAATCATTTCCCATTCAAATGAACTGAAATTCCACTTTCCCTCCTCTGTTTCTTTTCTATGGTTGATGATGGTTTATTCTGATTATGTATGGATGATTATAAGTATTATATAGATTTTTTTTCTTTATTGTTTCCTGGTGATTTTTTTTTTAACTTGGTGTTTCTGGGATTTTAATTCCTTTTCTCTTTAGACGTTTTTACTGACACTTGACGGTTGAGTGCCAACAGCTGGTTCGAGTATTGCTGGCCGGGTTGAAACTAAGTGATAACAAGCTTCTAATGGCAGGAGAGAAACATGAGAGCCGAAGCAAGAATTAAAGATGTTTTAAAAGATGAATGTTGGAAGTGGTGGGTGTTTGGAAATAATAAAACCAGTACTTGAATGTTTTTTTTTCACTGGGACTTTATTTGTTGAAATTAGAAAACTGCTTTTTTATCAGTGTGATTGCCAGGATCTTTTTAATTTGTTCATTTGAAATCAGACTGCTTCTTCGTGGATGAAAGTATAAATGTTTCTAAATTAGATGGAGGATTTGTAGTTGTTCTTTTCAAATAGTCTTAATAATCTGAATGTATAATCTTTTGCTCTTGTTTTTTTTTTTTAAAACAAACAACAACAAAAGATGTGAGGACAGTTAGCTTGTCTGAGAACTTTAGCAGAAGGAATATTAATTTGGTTGTATGAATATATCTAATTATTCCTTTTATTTTTAAAAAAAAGTGAAAGATGCTTTAAATACTTCAAAAGCAAAGGGCAGCGTAATTAAAGATATGACACTTTTTCTTAACTAAATAACAAAAGTAATTGTTTTCCAATTAGTAACAGACCTACATCCACACTCAACAGGCACTTTGTTAGGTCCACCTGCATGGCTACTTTAAGTGCAAACATTCATCAGCACAACTCAATAACTTAGACATGCAGACACAAGCAAGACATTCTGAAGTTCAAACGTCAGAAGAGAGGTGACTCATGGTTGTGGTGGGGATATGCCTGCACAACCATCTTTGGGGTTTACATAAAATTGTCTGAACGACAGCAAATATCCAGTAAGCAGCAGGTCTCTGGGTAAAAATTACTTTTTAGAGCTGATAGAGAAGCAACAGTAACTCCAAAGTCCTTACAGCCAAGATGAGCAGTAGAGCTATGGTATAAGACCACACTGGTCCTGAGATAGACCAATAGACATATAGTTAATTAACTATTACTCATCGTAGGGAAAAATTCCCTTATTACAAAAACACCATAAACAGACATGAGAACAGGAAACTGAGGTCCTCACTCACACAGGAGATGAAGATATTTTAAATTATCTGCAATAATAACTGAATCAGTTTGCTCATTAAAGCTAGACTTTTAAAAAAGTGTTCAATTGGTTTGGCACATTTAGTCCTCCGTAAATACACGGTTGGTTTTCAATAATGCTGGTTAGTACAGGACCCACACAGCGCTTTCTCTGACTGACAAAGGAGCATGAACTGATTTCCTTTTTCTTTTTTTTTTTCTTTTTTTTAGATTGATTGTAATTGTTTAAAGTCACTTTGGGATTCTGGGCTCCAGGAGCCGATATGGAGCCGGTGATCCCTTTGGGTGGATGCGAAGTGTCAAAAAGGGATCGAGATCAGAAAAATCAGGCCAAGAGGACGAGTTATTTCTTTATTTTACTTATAACGCCTTTAAACCCTGTTGGCTACAGACTATTTACCAATACAAGCAAAGTTATTACACATGGGAAACACAGAAACATTGGAAATTATATTTTGGCACCTCGCGTTTTCTTAGTGGACTCTCAAAGACGCATTTTCAGTGGGAAATGTGTCGCGGTTCAGACTCTGTACCTGAAAATAATCAGAGCACAGAGTGTCTGCAGCTGCTTTAAATTAACTCCAAAGTAAACAAAATCAGTTTTAGCGTCTTAAAGTTATTTCAACCTCATCTTCACTCAAATATTTACATTATATCCAAAATCCAACTGGGGTATTTCGATCGATTCCAACACGACAAATGATTGATTATTGATCAGTGTGTTCTGTGCCTTAAAAAAAAAACCCTTTGCAAATGAATCAGCTCTTCTTCGCGCTTTGGCAGCGGCTGTGAATGAGGAAATGAATCAGCTGGCTCAGGTACAGCAGGAAGGGAGGAGATAGAGGGACACTCAGTTTGCTGAAGAAAATCTGACAGCGAGCAGGATTAGTTCACGGGGTCTGTTACCCCGGTAACTAACTTGGAGTTGACGTTTACTCAGTCTGGTGCAGAAAACCCGAACTTGGCCTCAACCCTGGATTATCAAACTCAGAGCTGATCGCTAAACCCGCTCCCGGAATAAGACCTAGCGGTCCATCGGCTGTGAACAGGAAAGGTAGGAGCTGCCAGTTATTATAAACTGCGATTTACTGACAATAAATACTCAAATATCTTCAGGGTACCTGTGGCAACCAAGACATTGGAGATTTAAAAATGATGGTAATGTGTGCGTTTTAACTCAAATTGTTATTTAAATTATTTTTTATTGCCTGAACATTTTGAGAATACACTTCTTAAACTTCAGTAAATAACAAAATATAATTAAAATAACACATAGGTCATGTATTCAGTGGTGTTGTTTGTCTGGCCAACTTGAAATCAGATTATGCTGAAGTTAAATAGTTTCATTTTTAAAATGAGCTCAATGATGAAAGTCATTTGCTGCAGTCTGCAGAACAGGAGTATCTGGATGCACCTGATAAACAACAATGTTTGACTTCCCAGATAAGAAGATGACATTTAGAAAAATGTTGGCCTGTCGCCTGAGTCATGATTACGGTCGACTGTGGAATCTTAGTGCAACAAAAGGTCAGATCAACTTTAAAATACTGATGATCCTCGGACGTTTACATAAAAAACACTTTTTGAGCACTTTTTCAGATACTGATCGTTACACGTCCTTGTCTCTGTTCGCCTACATCATTAAACTACCGTAGTGCATTTTTGCTGTTTAAAGTATCATAGTTACACCTCATGATATTTAACCCTGAAACCCTTGGTCACCCTAACCCTTGGTGTGACAGAGGAGGATATTG